ATATTATATAATTTTCAAGGTGACACAAATATTCTTTTTTTTTTTTTTGGTACCAGAGCTCGAACTGGGGTCTTTGCTCTTGCGCAGCAGGTGGCAAAACCACTGAGCTAAACCTCTGGCCCTAAATATTCTTAAAGAATTTTTATTCATCGGAAAATATGAAGCAGGATTGCAGTACCGTGGCTGCACATTATAATACCTTGTAGAAACTGTTTGGGGAAACTAAAAAATGGCTAGTGCCTAAGTTTCATTCCGTGTCTGATTTAATTGCTTAGGGGTCAGATCCATACACTGATAATTTTAAAGAGTATGTTCAGATGACTCCACTGTGTATTAGGCTAAAGTCCCATGATCTAAACTAAATGACTTATTTAAAGCAGATGTAAAGAGGTGGATGAGTAATATGATCTTGCTCACTCTGTAGCTTTCTGTAGGCAAATGTTGCAGTTACACGTTTTTTGCTGCTCTTCAGCCATTTGGTACATTTCCCTTTGCCCCCTCTGTAGTCTAGGCAGGTAAAACGTAGAAAAAGCTTTCCTCTCAATTACTCCTTATGAATTCCAGTTGTGATAGTCGAGTGAAAGAAGAGGTGGCAAAGTGAGAATTGTGCCACAGGCTGAAACAAAAACATGCATCAATTTCAAGACTTCATTGTGAAATAATATTTTGCTCCCTTTTAGTAGTCTGCCTAATTGACATTTGGTTGTATATAGTAATTGCCATTTGTGAATGTAGCATAGTAAAAATATTTTAACATTAAACCTTCCATTAAGAAATTTTTATAAGCTGGTTATGGTAGCCTACACCTGTAATCTCAGTACTCCTGAGACTGAGAATGAATTCAAGTCCAGCCTGAACTACATAGTGAGAAACTGTCTCAAATAGTAATCATTGTAATAATAATAACAATAATAAAATAAAAAGAAAAGAAATTTTAAAACATTAAGTTCATTGATAAAAATTTCCCCCAGAACTTTTAGTTCATTATCATCTTACTCTTTTTAAATCTATTCGCATTTTTAAAATATGTGTTTTTAACAGAAGGAACTTCAAATGGAGATTTTGAAAACATTGTGCATCCTGATTCATATTATCCTGACATGGAAAAAGTAGGGGAAAGCAGCACTTCTGAAACAAAATTGAAAGAGAAAAGTATAAATATAGGAAGTAACCGAAATTTTGATGATTCCAACGTATCACCTGAGAGCAAAAATTTCTTGCCAACTATAGATAAGTCTTTCTTTGAGGAGAAATTATCTCAAGAAACCAAAGAATCTTTGGAATTTAGTAATGTGTATGAGAAGCCAAATTTTGAAGATTCTACATCTAAAGAGTCATCACTGGTAAATTTTATTGTGCTGGTTAACATTTTGTGATGAATTTCATAAGAAAACATCATTTGACACAGTGCTCATAAATATTACGTTTTATTGTTGTTGAAATATACTATGTATTGCATTGTGTTGTAGCTGAAGAGTGACTCCTGTGGGGGAAAATATAAGGCACATTCTAATATGGTAAATGTCATTTTAAGAAAGAGTCTTCTCTGAGAAATAAAACTTTAAGAGTCAACTCAATACACCATAGTGAAAGGGCTGTTACTTTTCAAGTGAAATTCATTTTTATGAATATTATACTGTAGTAACTTCAATAGCTTTTCACTGTCATATGGCTACTGACAGGTCATAATGAAAAAAGTGCAGATATGTAGATAGAAATAGTTTTGTGGCATAAGTAAAGAAGTAACTTATTTTAGGAAAATAAGTGAAATAGCAGTGGATGTTTTTCTTTCTTCTCAGAAGAAATACAGGTATAGTAGCTCATTATTACATTGTTGTCAAATTTTGAAACTACATTTCAATCTCCAATCTATTCACTAGAAATCTTCAGTGATCATGATTACTAAAAATAAATGTTTTGTAAATGGGTCAAGCCAAATATTTTAATAATCCTTTAAAAGTTATTTTAAACTAATTTTCAGGAGCCTAAACTGAAAAGAAAATCAGAAAACAAAAGGAATACTTGAATTTCTGCTCATTTTGTTTGGAGAATTGTTTTTCTGTGCCCATTTTGTGACAGGTGTTGTGCCTTTGTGAGGTGAGAAATTGGAATGGAGGATTCTGCCAAATACCAGATGCCTAAAAGTGTGCTGTTACTGAAGAAATGCACTAGGATACTAGCTACAGATGCAGCAAGATGAAAGGAAACTGATTTATGTGGGAGATCCCAGTCAGGTCAATAAAACATCTGACATGAACAATGAAAATCTTGTACTTTCAGTTAGTGTAGGTGTGTAAATTGGTATCCAAATTTCCAGTTGAATGTCTATTTACTTCTTCAAATATCCAAGCCAAGCAATTATCATTATCATTATTGTATCTGGTAGAAGTAAATCTTAATCCCTCCTAGAAGGACATCCTCACAATTTACCCAATAATGTTTCTGCCAAATAAAGCCCCACTTCAGATGAGCTAATATTCCCTCTGCCCCAGTGGAGAAAACAGTTAATCACAGCACGAATTTCCGCAAACAAAACATGTAAGAACTATAGTTTCCTAACTTCCACAGGGCATCATGTAGACAGCCTGGTGGCATCTGTTTCTATAGCAGGCTGTGTTATAGCAGAATCCTGAGCTTCTGAAACCCACTCTTTAGGACGGGGCAGTAACACTAATTGACCTCATCTAGACCTCTTCAGGATTCTTTGTAGAAATTGGGCCCTGAGTATTGGTGCAAATGGTGATATGCTGTTAACTGATGTAGCTGCGAGCAGTAAAATGCTTTGTCTCTGACCAAGGAGTTCTGTGTCTTCTGCTAGCATTCATGAAACTACATATAACAGGCTTGGAGAAAAGGACAAACTTTGGAGCCTTCACAATTTTTGATGGCAAGTAGAAAGAATAAACTGACAGATAAATCCAAGCATATACATAATTAGAATAAGAGTGAGCAGATTAAATTAAATTATTTGTAGTTAAAAACAGATTGCAAGTTTGGACATAAAATCTATCTAGGTGATTTTTCACCAGGAACTCATGTAAACATGGGGGCGGGGTCTGAGAGTAGGCAAACTGATTATTTAAAAAACCCCTTTATGATAATGAAACATTACCATGACAAAGGAAATCACTGTATGTGATAAAATGAGTTATTAGGAAGAGTAAATAAAATTTCAGTTCATATGTAACTACAAATATACCCTCAGAAATATTGTAGCAAAAATGGGCAAAACTACATATTACTTACAGATCCATTAACCCAGTGGGAGTTTTGTAAGTGAAAATAGAGATTTAAACAACACAAATAAACTGAAAGGGCTTATTTTGAATAGTGTGTTCAATAATTAGATGGTGTGTGTCTTTGCAAGAACACACGAGACATTTACAAAATACACTTTTATAGTGCAAATAAAATTACAAAGGAAATTTCAACAAATCTTAAAGAGAAATCACACTGTGATATCTAACCACAGTACAATAACATAAATCGATAGCAAAATTATACCAAAATAAAAAAGACAACTCAAATAAGTTTAGCATATGGAATAAGTTATAAAATAATTTATAAATATCTTTAACTGAACCTTGACAAAAGGACTATTAGTAAAAATATGTATTATGAGTTTCAAATACCACTTACTAGGAAATTTATGCAGATGGTCCCTGACTGTCAGGGTTCAATTTATGAACTTTTTGCCGAATGGATGTGCAAAAGTAACATGCATTTAGTAGAAAGCATACTTAAAATTTTGAATTTTGATCTTTTCCTGATCTAGGAATATTTGATATACCTTCTCACAATACTGTGAAATGGCATTGAGTTACAATTCCTAGTTAGCCAATGATATTCTATAGTGTATTATGTTGCTAACCTATGATGTTTGGTATATTAGGTGTATTCAAGGTTTTTTAGCTTACAACATTTTCAATTTAATAATAAATTTATTGAGATGTAACCATATTGTAAGTCAGAGAGGATAACTAATCACAAATGCAATAAAACAGGAGTGAAAATTAATGAGCTGTGAACCTGGTTCAGAAGAAATAAAACAATAATAAATTAAACTCATAGCATACAGAAATAAACAGTGACGATAAGAACAGAAATTAGTAGGACATGAAAAGTAATAAATAGCATCAACAAAATTTTTATTTATTTTAAAAGGCTAAAAATTTAAGACAGAGTTGTGGACATTGTTACCAGGAAACTAAAGAAAGAAAATAAAAATAAGTAGTATAACTTGAAATAAAAGGGAGATGTAATATAATTTTAAATTGTTAGTGAATTTGTTGCAGGAAATATATACTAATCCACTCAAGGGGTATGAAAATGCATAGATTTCTATGAAAATGATTTATGAAAATTGACTGTGGTTGGATTAGAAAATTCGAAAAAACCTGTAAGTGTGTGCTACAGTTTGAATGTGTGCTCCAAGCATCGTGTGGGAAACCTGACCCCCAGAGTAACAGTGTTGAGCGTGGAGATGTAAGGAGTGCTGCGGTCATGAGGGCTTGACACTCAAGGATGGGTGAATGTTGTTACGGTGGAAGTGAGTTTGTCATCTTAGGAGTAGGCTTTATTAAAACAGTGAGTTTAGCCCTCTGTTTCTCTCTTCTTCTCTCTTGCCTTTAACCCTCCTTCACAGGGTAATTCAGCAAGAAGGCCCTCACCACACGGTAGATCTTTGATTTCATACATCTCAGCCTCTAGGACTGTTAGAAATAAATTTCCTTTTTTCACAGATTGGTCACTTTGTGATATTTTGTTATAGTAACATGAAAGGGACTAAGGCTACATTAAAGGACTTAAACTACTAGTTGAACATCTACTTTCTTCCAAATTCCTTTCCCTTCATAAAAAAAGACACAAACTAAAAACAGATATGCAAGTTTAATATACCATATAGAACCAATAGTTAATTATTCTACCCCATGGGGAATGGCAAACCATATCCATTAACTTATGTATAAAAAATAACTTAATTGGCTTTATCTCAAGAATCCAGCAGTTTGTTAGATGTGCTAATGCATTTGATAAATGAAAGACTTTCATTAAAACTATCTTTACAACTCTAATAAGGAGTACTTGCACAATCTCCAGGATACATAACCTGTGGTTATTAGTATAGTGCAAAACAATGTAGCAATTAAAATGAATGAAACCAAATCTATTTTTGTTGTTGTTGTTGGAGTACTGGGGGATTAAACCTAGAGCCTTGGCATGGAACTACATCCCCAGCTGTTTTTTATATTTTATTTTGAGACAGGGTCTCGCCAAACTTCTAAATTGGCCAGGATAGGCTGGAATTTACAGTCTTCCCTCCTTCACCTCCCAGAGTGTAAAGATTGTAGATATGGGCCATGGTGCCTGGCCCAGAGCTACTGTAGATAACATGGCTATATCTATAAAATATGATGTTGAAATTTGACTATGAAAAGATGTTAGAGTATAAAGGTAACACCATTTTGCAAATATTTAAGATAATTTTACCTTTTTATGGATATGGTCAGATATAATAATAAAAACAGGTATTGAACTACAGTTTCACGGTATCAACATAATAATACAATTAGCTTGGGCTGGAGATTTAGCTCAGTGGCACCACGCCTGCCTTGAAATGGCTTCTGAGTTCAATCCCTGGTACCAATAATAATAATAATAATAATAATACAATTAGCTCTATAAGGTCTACTAAAACAGTTTTAGTGTAGATATCTGGAGCAAATATTTTTAATTACTGATATTAATTTTTTGTGACAAAGTTTTCTGTTGAACATATCTATACTTTAAAAGTATTTCATAATTTAAAATATTTTTTTAAAAAAGTTACTATTGTATTTTGATCCTTTAAGCTACTATTATAAAAAATTTTGCTTTTATTTAAAGTGGTAAATTTTTGAATATAGTGCTTTATACATAGTAATTACTCAGGAAATTATTACTGAATATTATACAAATATCCTAAACATACTTATTGGGAATCTGGTTGTTACATAGAATCTGAGAACCCCAATTATTTTGATTTTAGAATGGTATAATAGTTTCTGCTTAGCTACTTTTTAAGAAGGCAGCAGTTGCCCACAATTCTAAGTGAGGGTAACCTTAAATTCATGTCATCAGAGTTAAGTGCTTGTATTGTATTGTATTGTATTGTATTGTATTGTATTGTATTGTATTGTATTGTACTGTATTGCATTGTATTTTTGGAAAGGAGTACTTAACCACTTATTACTTCCAAGGGGAGCAGAGTATGCTTCATCTTCAGAAAGGTACCCAGTATTTGAGTGAATCTTGTGAGTCTCTCCTGTCCTTTATTCCATTCTCTCTATGGGAAAAGTAGTGACTTAATTGGTTAGGAATATTAGCATTTGATGTCTTGATCAGGCTTTATGTGCCAGGGTAGAGAAACTGCCTTGAAATATATTTTGCATATTATCTTCTTAAGTGCTTTGCTACTTCTATGCGTCTCTCTGTGTGAATTTCTGTCTCTGCCTCTCTGTCTCTGTGTCCCTTTGTCTGTCTCTCTGCGCCTCCCCCCCTTATATGTGTACTACTCTCCTTCTGCATCCTGTGTATGTGAGTCTGTATCTGATCTCTCTTTACCAGACCTTCTCAATGGAGTATTATCCTTTCTCTGCTTTTCTCCTCCAAGTCTTCCTGTGATAAACTCTCTGGGAAAAGTCTTTCCTGTCTTTCTCTTTTATTTTTTAAGAGAGAGGAAAGGAACCTCCCATTGCCCTCAGGCTCTCCCAGTTTTCCAAATCATTTCTGAGGGAACTAGGATAATTTAGACAATTAATCCAGTAACTTGTGTTCCATCTTAATTTCCTGGTTCTACTCAAAAGTGATCAGAGCCTGTCAAGCATGGATGTGACATAGGTAGCACCCTTTATTTCCCTCAGTTTCCATTACTTCTTTTGTAGGATACCATCCTATTCAATTAATGTGAAATGTTTTTTATCACTTAGTTCAGATGTTTATTAAAGGCAAGGTGTGTATATATGTTTAGTTAGTAGACATTCTGGTTTTATTCCATTTGACATAATAAATTGTTCATAATATATTCTGGCAATGCTAGTTCTCTTAACAATCTAAAAGAGTTGGGATACATAAAGTCCTCACCAGCTTAAACCTATCGAAATAATCAAGTGAAGTGACTGCTGTAAAATGACTTACATGATTATTGTTTTTTCAATTAGATGAGACAAAGTGTAGCTCGGAACAGTGGTAAATAGACAAAATTTTAATGTGCTATAATGTAATTGTAACTGAGGAATGAAGAAAGTGTTAATAGTTGCACAGAAACTGTCCACCACTTGTAATAAGATTCATAATGAGTGGCCAGGATTCTCCCTTGGGAGCTTCTTCCAGGAGATGGCTCATCTCTGGAAGGACTGAAGTGGGGTCACGGCCAGAGAGAAGGTGAGGAGCTGCCAAACAATGCAGCTGACAGGAGGACTGCAAAGGAAGGAGAACTATCTGAAGTGGCAACCAAAAGAACCGTTACTGCACAGTTGATAGACTGGATTTTTGCTTTTGAATAGTTAAATGGTAGAATCTATATTTATTCCTTCTTGACCAACCAGACTTGAACTATTTTTATTCTCCATTTGCCCTACTAGAAGTCATTCCATGAACAGAAATTATTTGGAAATCTATTGTGTTCCAGAAGAAAATTCATGTCCCTAGCAGCAGGGTCATTTTTTAGCCACGGAGTTTCCTGACACCTATATTAATTGCAAGGCCCTTCATTTTGCACTTCAGATTTCATAAAGTGGAACGACTTAAGGAACAACTATTAAGTACTACAACTATTAAGTTGTAGGCAGTACTTTAAAGAAACATGAACTTGGCAGTGTTCCTTGATTCTGGTTCTGCGATTATCAGTAGTTAACTTCATGAGTTTGCTCAAGACAAACCAAAACAAAATATACCGACTATCATTTTTTTATTTGTGCAACAAGACTTGTTAAAGCCCTTTTAGATTTGCAATTGCATAGTCCAAACACAAGCTTCAGTAAAGCTGGAGGAATTCTATTTTTGCCAATCAAATATCTAGGAAAGCTAAGAAAAGGTATCCTAAGAAAAGTGGACATGGAGTTGGCTTTGAATGATGTGTTTCATTGGTCCCTAGCTTTGACTTATAATATTTTCTCATTCATATGATTTATAAATATGTATAGAGTTTTGCTTTGTGTTGTTTAATCTTTTAGAGGGACTATATTTGGGCATGAATTATATATATTAGTGAATGGTAAAACACTGATAGCTACTCTGGTTGTATTTCAAGCCCATCCACAGCTCTTACTTCTGAATTATTAATATTTCTTTATAGGTTGATGTGAATTTTTAAATGTTATATTTTTATCCTAGAATAAATGCATATACAAAAGAATTAATAGGGTTGCAAAATAAGCCTGGGATTCAAATCTGAAAGACCTACATTCAAAGCCGAGGTCTGCTAGTTTCCAATAATATAAACTTCACAAATTACTTATTTTCTTCTTGCTTCAGTTTTTTGCATATTTGCTTCATGATGAGTTTTTTTGTTAACTTGGATTTTGTCTATGACCATTATCAGGTCAAATTGATTCCCACTGGTATTTTACTTTCATCTTTGAAATTATTTTATGTGTAGATAAAGAAACAAGTTCAAAAGCACTGCATATGAAAGAGACTCTGTATTCCTGGGTAATTTATGTGCAAAGATACTGAGGGAAGAAAATAAAGGAAAGAAGGCAGAAAAGGAAATTTTATTTCATGAACTTCTTTCCTCCTTGGGTTGATGGCAACTTTCAGATAATTACTATAATTGTGGTTCATACATTTTGAGAACTTATTATATATAAATGTGTTATTATTTATATCTCCACTATTAGAGACTAAAGTTCATGACAGTAGAATTTGTGCCAGGTACATAGTAGGTGTTTAATGAATTCATGTTTTGATGAGGTAGAAAATAAACTTGGCTTTGTTAATATTTCTTTTCCTAGTTGTTACAAGCAATAGCCATCAGAAGTAAACCTATAACTCAACAATTTCAAGGACTTGAAAGATTCTTTACTTTTGATACAAATGAAAGATGCAACTTACTGCCTTCTCATAGCTTACAGTACAGTTATTCCTATACTAGGATTGCACTTTCAGGTAAATTCAGACATTAAATCAGCTGACCTATGGATCAACTTAAAGGTCTTCCACATTCTTTTTTTTTATATAAATGGTCTATCATTATCATAGTCATAAAATTATTTTCTTCTTTCCTAGCTAAAATCATTAACCCTGTGTGAATTGATGTATTTTTATATTTAAAGCTACTTCAGAATATGAAAAAACATTATAATGAAATTGGGGAAAGAATATTTTAGAATTTAGAGCTATAGCCATTATCATATTATAAAAGTACTGACTTTGAATCATTTTATTAGCTATTATATGATAATCTTTAAATTTCCTCTTTTAAAAAATAAAATCTTAGCATCTGTGAAATTCATGAGATATGATTGTAATTTCCTTTTCCCTCAAATGTTTCTTATTGTGGTATAATACACATAATCGAACATTTATTAGCTTAATAATTTTTATCTATACAGTTCTGAGGTAGTAATTATGTTCATAGTACTCTGCAACTATCATCACCATTCATCTGCAGAACTCTTTTGATCTTTAGAACTTAGCTCTATACTCATTAAACAATAACATCATTCTCTCCTCCCCCAATCCCTAGCAAGCATCTGGTTTCATTGTTTTAAGCATTATAAGTAATAAGTGGAATCATATGTATTGTTTCGTGACTGGTTGATTTCAGTCAGCATTGTCTTTAAGTACTTTCATTCATGTTATAACATGCATAAGAATTTTCTTTCTTCTTTAATACAAAGTACAGAAATACTGAGGATAGAATGTTGAAGCTCTGTCTGCCCCGCTTCTCCTTTATGCATCAGCACAAACCTCTTTAAGACTCCATGAGATATAATTTGAAAGTCACTATTAAAGGAGAACGATGTTTAAAAAATAAAAAAATAATTTATTTCTTTTAAAAGTAGGACAATATTCAATTTTATGGAGTCACCACATTTTTCTTATTCATTAATCCTTCAGTGAACACTTGGGTTGCTCCAGTTATTGTGAATAATGCTGTTGCTGTTATGAACATGAGTTCAAACAAATTTGTCTTCAGTACCCTGCTGTTAATTCTTTTGTGCATATACACAAGAATAGAACAGCTGAATCATTTAGCAATTCCATTTTTAAGTTTTTCCACAACTCCCATACTGTTTCCCACAATCACTATACCATTTTACGTTCTAACTAGTAGTGCACACGAGTTCCTTTCAGTTGATCTATATCCTTGACATTTTTGATTTTCTGTTTTCTCTTGTTTGAGTGGTATATCATTGGAGTTTAGATTTGTACTTCTCTAATGGTTAGTGATGTTGAGCATCTTTGAATGTGCTTATTAGAAATTTGTATATGTTCTTTGCAATGATGTTTATTCAAGGTTTTGGTTCATATTAATGAGTTTTTGTTGTTTTACTTGAGATTTATTGTATGCTGGATAGTAATCCCTTATATATGATCTAAAATATTTTTCTCTTATTCTATGAATTGCTTTTTAGGTGTCATGCTAGTCTTATTTGATGGGGAATTAGTTTTTGACCTCTCATAAAGTTTAATTTTTCTGTTTTCTATTTTGTTCCCTCTGCCTTTTAAAAAAGATATGTGAAGTCATTTCTAAATCCAGTGTTCTAAAATATTTACCCTATATTTTCTTCTAAAAGTTTTATATTACAGGTCTTATATTACATGGATGAATTTTTAGTTAAGTTTTATACATAGTATTAGATGAAGTTCCACATTCATTAATTTTCTTATGTATATCAAGTTTTTTAGCACCATTTATTGAAAAGACTGCCCTTTGTCCATTGAATGATCTGGTACTCTTGTCAAAAATAATTTGACTAAGAGTGAAGATTTTAAATATTCTCATACACACACATGAACGTTTGTGAAGTAAAACATATGTTAGCTTGCTTTAGTCATTATACAATATATAAATATTTAAAACTGTCATGTTATCCATAAATATATTCAATTTTTATAACTAAACAAAAAAAATTTATCATGTGGATTTAGGCTTATTTCTGGGATCTGTATTCTCTTTCATTAGGCAGTACTATACTCTTTTGATGACTGTATCTGTGTAGTTAAATTATAAGTTCAGAAAGTGTATTACTCCTTCAAATATGTTTTCATTTTTTTCAAGTTTGTTTTGATTCTTTAGGGTGACTCATGATTTCATATTAGTATGGCTTTTTCTATTTCTGCAAAAAAATACGACAGGCTTTTAATAGTGATTGCATTGAATTTGCAAATTGTTTTGGGTCCTATTCACATCCTAACAGTAAGATCTTGCAACCCATGACCATAAGCTGTATTTCTGTTCATTTATGTCTTTTTAAGATTTTTTTCAACAATGGTTTCTTTTTTTATTGTTTATATCTTTTATATCCTTGGTTAATTCTTAAATATGTTGCTCATTTTATGGTAATATAAATGGAATTTTTCCTTAATTTACATTTTGGAGCATTCATTTCTAGTATAAATAAATACAGCTGATTTTTTCCTAGTGACTTTCTGTCCTGCTATTTTGCTGTGTTCATTTATTGGTTCTATTTTTAATGGAGTTTTTAGGGATTTCCTCATATTAAATTATATCATTTTCAAAGAGATGATTTATGTGTTCCTTTCAGATTTGGCTTTCTTTTCCTTTTCCTTGTCTAAATTTTTTGGCTAGAACTTCTAGTACTATTTTCAGTAGAAGTGGTGAAAGTAAGCATCTCTCCTTGCTCTAGGAAAATTTTCAGTAATTTACCATTGTGTATATTTGTTGTGGCATTTCATATGTGACTTATATTTTATGCAGGTGGTTTTCTTCTATACCTAGTTGTTGGGAATTCTTATCATATTGAATTTTGTTGAATGCTTTTTCTGCATAATTTGAGATTTTCATATTTTTTATTCAATTCCTATATTATATTGAACTGATGGATTATTGTAGGTTAAGTCATCCTTGCATTCCAGGAATAAATCCCACTTGGTCATGATGTAATTGCTGCAATATACTGCTGATTTTGTTTGGTAGTATTTTGTTGAGGAGTTCTTCACTACTTATATAAAACATTACTCTATAGTTTTCTTGTAACTTGGACTTTGTTTGGCTTTGATATCATGGTAATTTTGGCATCATAGAATGAATTACAAAATGTTCTCCAATTAAAAAACAATTGAGAAGGATTGGCTTTAGTTAGTTCTTTAATTGTTGACAGAACTCACTAGTGAAGCCATTAGGTCCAGGACTTTTATTTTGAAGGGAGATTTATTTATGGTTCTGAGAGCTTGTTCACTTAGGTACATCCCTAGCCCACCTTTTCCTTCCTTTCTTTCTTTCTCTTCCTTTTCTTCCCCCTTCTTCTCTCTCTGTCTCTGTCTCTGTCTCTGTCTCTGTCTCTGTCTCCCCTCTCCCCAGGCTAGGCTCCAACTTGCAATTCCTGACTCAGCTTTCCAGAGTTCTGGGATTATAGATCTAAGCCACCATTCTCGGCCCTTGATATTCTTATAAATTATATGTATATTCAAATTTCCTATTTCTTGTTGATATTGAAGTTTCAGTTTTAAACCTGGGTCTTGGTTTCATCTATATTACTTAGCATTCTTTATGTGTATTCATGTATGAACTATTATACTATTTATTACATTGTTATATACCTTTAAAATATTTATGCCTACACATACACATGTGTTATCTTTACAATTTACAGTTTTTCTTTTTTAATCAATATAGAAAATCAATGTTTTTTATTTAATAACCATGAGATTCTGTATTTTATATCTCACTGTTATACATATTACTTAATTCAGTTAAGTATTGTTCAGTGAGGTAATAAATATAATAAACAAACCATGAATTTACCCTATTTTATACTTAATATTATTTTATCTTTTTCCACTTCAGGAGACCAAGAATGGAGCCCAGATAGTAGCCTGAGTACACATGCTGATGACACAGTTGCCTTGGGGGTTCTGCAGAGTGTCCAGCACATATCACCACGTATAGAGCAACAGAAAGGTAAGGTGGTCTACAGGGTAACTATGACATATTGCTGCTTCACTAGTTTTTAAAAAAAATTAATTTTATTGGTACATTTTAGGTATACAATATAATGACATTCTTTATTGGAAATTTGCATTTTTACATAATCTCTCTTGGTTTTTATTTTTTCCTCCTTCCCCTGCCCTCCCTTCAACTCCTCCATCCCTCCCTATTTACAGTTTTTGTTTCCATTTTTTCATTTTCTCATATTAATTCCATTCCCTTCTCTCTTTCCCCTACCCCTGCAAATTCCCCTTCCCCTTTGCCCCTTTTCTTCCTATTTCACATTACCTATTCTACTTTTTAGTCCTTATTTACACTTTCAGTTTCTCACACTAGAGAAACTATTCAGTATTTACACATGTGTGTCCTATTTATTTCACTTAAAAGTATGGCCTCAATGTGCATCCATTTAGCTATAAATGTCTCTAATTTCTCATTTTTTATGGCTGAGTAGTACTCCATTTTATAAAAAAAAATTCTTTATCCAGTCTGCGCTTGATGGGCAATTGGGCTGCTTTCAAGTTTTAGCTATTATAAATTGTGCTGCTATGAACATGGGTGCACATATATCACTGTGGTATGATTCTTTTAATTCTTTGGGGAAGATATCCAGCAGTGGAATAGCTGGTTCAAATGGGACTTCTAGTCCTAGTTCATTGAGGTATCTCCATACTGATTTCCACAGTGGTTGCACCAGTCTACACTCCCACCAGCAATGGAGCAGTCTTCCTCTTTCCCCACAGCCCCGCCAACATTTGTTATTGGTTGATTTCATGATAGCAGCCATTCTTTCTGGGGTGAAGTAGAATCTCAGCATTGTGTTCATTTGCATCTCGAATGACCAGTGATGTTGAACACTTTTTCATATGTTTGTTTCCTATTTCTATTTCTTTGTCTGAGAAATATCTGTTCATTTCAGGTGCCCACTTTTGAATTGGGTCTTCAAATTTGGGAGGTCTGATTTTTTTTAAGTTCTTTATAGATTCTAGATAGTAGACCTTTGTCTGAGGAACAGCAAGTGAAAATTTTTTCCCACATTGTGGGTTGTCTCTTCACACTATTGGTGGTTTCTCTTGCTGTCCAGAAGCTTTTTAATAAGAAGAGATCCCACTTGTTGATTGTTTGCGCTAGTTCATGGGCAACTGAGGTTTTGTTCATAAAATCTTTTCCTACACCAGTGTCTTTAAGAGTTCTACCTAAACTCTCTTCCAGCCAGTTCAGTGTTTCTGTTTTAATATTTAGATGTTTAATCCATTTCAATTTTAGTTTAGTGTGTGGTGTGAAATATAGGTCCAGTTTTTCTTTGGAGTGTGGAAACTCAATTTCTCCAGCACCATTTATTAAAGAGGCTCTCTTTCCACCAGTGAGGGTGTTTGGGTCCTTTGTTGAAGATGAAGTGGCTGAGTGTATCTGGAGTTGTTTTTGCATCTTCTAATCTGTTCCACTGGTCCTCAAGTCTGTTTCTTTGTCAGTACCTTGCTGTTTTTATCACAGTAGCTTTGTAGTATAGTTTCAATTTGGGGATTGTGATACCCCCTGCCATGTCTCTGATGCCTAGAATTGCTTTGCTGCTTTGCTAGGTTTATAAGGGTTTTTTTTCATAGAGAAGGGTGGAGGGCTGAAGGGTGCACAGGCAATGGGGGAAAAAATAAGAACTAAGATACATCATGTTCAGGTACAAGCACCCCATGATTAATGTAAATGTATTGTATATGTAAAATGTACCAATAAAAGAATAAATTTTTAAAAAATTTGTTTTTAGATGTTAGTTTACTAGACACCGGAAAGTTAACTTATTTTAACTAAATGTTTCTGATTTTTTTTTCTATATCCAAAAATCCAAAACACCAATATATTTATTATGCCACTCAAAAAACATGAATTATAATCTTATTTATTTTTATAATGATGTGTTAAAGTACAATAGTCTTAAAACGTGGTTTAGGATATGTATGGTATGATTTGAGCAGTTCTCATAGAATACACAGTTCATTTCACTACATACTGCGGAAGTAATGTATTTATATCAGATTTCATATTCTTTTACTTGATTCATATATCTATTGGGTATAACCATATATAAAATGAATGACTGAGATTAAAATTGCTACTTGGAAATATGATGAGGTAGTTCACCTCTAAACTTAATACCATATGCGTTAACCCTAGATTCTTGATTTCAGTTCATTAACTCCACTCTACAAGCAAAGTAATTGCAGGATTTTCTGTAAGGTAACTTTTCAAGGATGTTGAATATCCACTGCAGTATTTTCCTAATGTGTATATCACTAGTATTATTAAGTCATTACTCTTATCCCATTCTACCTGCTTAAGTACATTTGGTTTTTTTGTTTCATTTTGTATATAAAGTTGCAGTAGGTAGCTTAATTAAGGCAATTCAGCATATAAGTTGAGTCTGTTAGCATTACACTAGTCCCTGGTAAGAAGGGATGAGGAAGTTTCATTCCCTGGGGACTGAATTTAGTAGGAATACTTGACAAAAATGAGTTACTCACCTTGGTTTAAAGCCTCTCTTTAAGCCAGTAATTCAATTACAAATGATTTGTTTATATATATATATATATATATATATATATATATATATGATTTATGTGTCTCTTTTTCCCTAAACACCATGATTAAATTTCCTTGGCTAGCTGAGATCCTTTCTATATGCACTTATGTTGAGAATCTGTCAGATATAATTTTTTTTCAGTAGAAAAAACACCCATTTATAATAAATGTTTTTTAGCTCTATAATTAGATGTCTATTCTCACATAAAATTCTACAGCAGCTTCAAAAATTCTGGCTGCTTCTTTTGGAGGCAGTCAGAAAAAATGTTCTAAGTCTTTGTATATTGTTGAAAATAAACTTATGCTATGAGAAATTTGTCACTGAGACAAATCTTTATAAATAAGTAGTCAATTGCTTTAAGTATAATTTCGGACAGATAAATCAAACACAGTAATTACTATGGATAACATTTGTTGGAGCACTTGCTCTAGGCCATACACTGCCTGACACTAATGATACAAAGTGTGGCCAAAAACTTCAGTACAGAGGTTCTTAAACATCAGTGTGAGCATACTCAGCTGTGAGGCCTGTTATAATGCAGATTTCTGGATTAAACTCATATAGGATTGGGTAAGTCCTGAGAATTTACATTTTTTAACAATTCTCTGTATCATGATATAAACAGTTAACATATTTTGAGAAATTGCCATATGGATAGGCAAATACATAAGTTATACCATACATATTACAATATGCTTTGTTAAGTGGTGCATAAATAACATACTTTTGAAAATTGATAAGTAATTAGTGATGGTATATCCTACCATAGGTATAATACAACAGATGGACATACAGTGTTTTAGGAAGAGAGAGACGATAAAATAATGACTTTGCCATTGAAAAGTGTAGATATGCAAGATGTTAGAGACTGTGAGATATTTTAGTCGAGTCTTTAAAGAGTAATAATAGTTATCAGTTAGGGGAGTTGGGAAATGGCTTCCAGGATGGAGGTAGTGGCCTGAACTAAAAGAAAGTGTTCTTGGATCTGGCACAAATTATAGAAATCTTATGTTCTGAGCTTATGCCAGTATATAAAAGAATTCTAATTTTTGTAATATTTTAATGTTTGTCACTCTTAAAAAGCAATATCGATTAAATCATGAGGTGTTTAACAGCAAGTCCATTGAGTCTCTCCATCCCTCCCCGGGAAAAGCATACCTAATTCCACACTTGATCTTCCTCTTTCTGTAAATGGCACCACCATCCATTAATTAGGCCAAAAACCTGGGGGTCAGCTTGATTCACATTCAGCACAACCCACTCATTTTTAAGTCCCAATGATTTCAGCTCCAAAATTCAGGCCAAATCTAATAACTACTTTTATGTTTACTATTTAAGATGAACCCAAGCCAGTTGTCCTGTCTCTCACTTGTCTTCCAATTTTAATTTTCTTCCTCCCCCAAAATGTTGCTATGATTAATTTCTATCAAATTCTACTGTTCATAGTCTTTGAGTAAATTATTTATATTTATTTATAGTCATACTATTATTTATATTTATAGTTTATAGGGAGTGAATTATGCTTTTCATATATTTAAACCATGAATAGTATCATGTCATTCTGCTGCCTGAAGACCTCACCTAACTTTCCATAAAAGGTAGAAAAAACATAGATATATAATCTTGCCCATGCATCATACAGAAATAGCTGAGCTGGTTACTCATCTTTCTTACCGCTTCTTCCGGTAATGCAGTTATACTGACTGCTATCTGGTTTTGGCTACTCTCAATTCTTCCCCTTAGAATATGCTCTTTCCTGGCATACAAGGTGCTCTGCAACCTCCGATTTTATTCTCAGACCTTTTTTTATGTGACTGGTTCTTTCCCATTACCCTCACTCCAAATGTTATCTCCTTAGAGAGCTTTTTAGACCACCCCAGTTAATACTACTCTCTTGAGTCACTCTTTCTCACTGTCTGACAGTATCTTGTTTTTTTTTTACTGTTACTTTTTACTTTTTTACTGTAGAAAGAAAGTACCTGTCTTTTTCATTGGTGTATTGTTAGTGATAGAACAGGGGCCTCTATATGATAAATGCTCAGTAAGTATTTCTAAATGAATGAAATAGAATAGAGAGAGCGTGTGTGTTATTTTGGAGAGTCACTAGAGGGTAGGGGCAATGTTTCATTCACTTTTGAATATCCTAATCATGACACAGTACTTGGCAGTTTTAGGAGCTAACAAATGATTTTTATAATTGAATCGGACTGAGTATTAAATCACAAGTTTCCAAAGTTGGAGGATGTTTCAGGCATTATACTGTTCAGTTACTTAATCTTACAGGGGAGATATGAATAATCATGCCAGGTCATGAGTTGATTTCTAATTCACTGAAATAAGGCAACAATAGACCTATTTACTTAGTTTTTTTTTTTTCTTTTCACTCAGCCATGCTGCTCTATAAAGTTTTCTTCTATGTTTCCAAAACACTAATAAAGTACATTTATAGCACTTTACACAATGGAACAAGTATGTCAATATACAATAATATCATGCAGTTTCTTCAGGATCAAAATACAGGGTCCTTTCATAATAATATTATTTGTTACTAAAATACAACCCCAAAGGGATGTTACTATATTTCTTTAAATTTTGTCAGTATTTTATGCCCTAAATATCACTGTATTTTATCTTCTCAGTGTTGGAATGGTTTAATTAGTAACCACAGAACATATATTCTTAGCAAACACTAAGTAAAACTCATTTTGTTATATTTAGAGTGTAACTGGGATCAGTTTAAATCATTTTAACGATTACACTACCAATGAAGGGACAGGTTATTCCAAAAGTAATTTCTTATGTTTAAATCTACAGACTAGGCTGTTTTTATTACAGAATTATCACCTCAGGAGTGTCATTTTTCATCTGTGCTATTCTTTTTTTTTTTTTTTTTTTTTCCACTGCCTGCCTGAGTTCGATCCCAGGTACCAAAAAAAAAAAAGAATGATTTTTTGCTTTATATAGTCAATATTTATGTATATTTTCCTAAAAGTTTTAGACTTTCTTTGCTCATTTTTTTCATCTCCAAATTTTCACTTTCTTCTGCCTAAAGTAAGTCCTTTAGGATTTCCATTAAGGTGGGGGTCTATTGGTGGAAAATAGGTTTGTCTTTATTTTGCTACTAATTCAACAAGATATTTGTGAAGAGGACAATAGAAACTGATGATATGTATGTTTGTGCCTGCTTTTTTTCCTTTATAAGCAAACTCCTCAAACTCTTGGTGTGTTCAACTGATGAACTCAGATCTGTGCTATTCTTAATGTTGTGTCAGAACTGCACTTTAGCAAAAATAAGCTTTCTGATTATGAGAGAGAATGATATACCTGCCTAAATGAACAACAAATAAATAAGATCTGGGACCAAATTGGGGTTTCCTTTATCTCCTTCTATGTTTTGGTTACATTAAATTATACTTGAGCATATTCTGAGGGAGAAAGATGGTGTGTCTGTTTGCTGTATACTAAGCATAAGTCTGACCCATTCCCTGTGTATTCTTTCTCTCAATTGGGATCAATTAGCTTCAAATACTGTGGCAACCAGATGTTGTTGTAAGAGTTCATCAAGAGTTGTACTCTCTTGAGTTTTCTGAAGGGCATCTAAGTTATTTTAAATTTCTCTCACTTTATATTTTCTGCAGTGGCAGAAGTCCAGTTCTTACTAATAACAGTCCTCACTAATAACATTCTTCTTTTGTTTGTTTTATTTTAATTAGTGTTTTAAGTCCCTTTTAATTTTACCCTGGGTGAGATGTATCATAATATAGTGTTATGGCTTGTATCTAGATATTCCCCTAAAGGCTCATCAGGTCATAGGTGGGGCATTTTGGAGGTCGCTGGATCTAGAGTGTGTGATGCTTGGATTCAAGATGTGATGCTGGGATTGATTCCTGGTATGATGCTAGGATTAAGACTGCCCCACCCTCGGCATGAGTGCTCCCTGCCCTAAGGGTGGGTAGCCTGGATAAAACATAAGGGACGGAAGGAGGATTGCTGTCATCACTTGCTGCTTGCCACTTTCCTACTTTGCTGCTTTGCTGCCTTCCCACCTTCTGCCTACCATGAACTGTTTCTTCTCTACAATGCCTCTCTGCCATGCCACCCTGCCTTGGAGCCACCAAACTATAAACTGAAACCTCTACAAACTGTGAGCTGAAATAAATCTTTCTTCCTTTAATTTTAGGTGTCAGGTATTTTGGCTCAGAAATGAGGAAAAGTAAGTAAGACACAGAAACAAGAGTGTGGTGTCCCCTGCAGATCCAGCGCCTTTGAGTTTTACCCACTGACTGGTCATTCTGTTGCTCTTCCACTGCAGCTCCATTTTGGAGGAGGGGCAGACTTGCTTTCCTTGTTGGCTACAAATAAAATATTGATCCTTTGAATACTATAGATAAAAGAGGAAACCACTTCCAAGTTCTAGTTATCAAAATAATTCTTGAGGATATATGGATAATAACATATAGACATACTTTTCTCTGTTATTTTTCTTCAGAATTGTTTCAAAGCTTAAATGAACACAGAAAGTGAATTTAATTTTATTTATAATTTCATTCCAACAAAAATATTTCAAAATTTGATTTATGGAAAATTCATTTAAATTGTGCCCCTTGGGACTTAACTTGCTTAAATAATTTTATGTTGCTTCTTGGTATGTTAATTACATTTGAAGTAGACATTTTAAAAAAAGAAAATACAAATTCAATAGTCAATGAATATTTCATATAGGACAACTGCTTATATCCACTGCTTTGCATTTCACATTTTCCTCTGAGTCAATAGAGTGGCTATAATATTATATATGAGCATATCATGTCTAGTAAAATCATAATTTTATGATAATGACAATTGCACCTCTTTAAAGAATCCAATATTCTATACAAAGCCAGTTTATGTTAAAAAACAAAATTAAACATTATATGTTTAAATATTTTATATAAATTCTAATGACTTGCTACATTTAAAAGTATACCTGTGACCTGAAAGTTTACATTTGTTCCTTCAAACTTCCATTGGTCTTTAATAAATAATCTTCTATAAGAAATTCAAAATTATAAATTAGTTTTGTGCAAGATTTGAAAAATTATTTTTCTTATTGTGAAAAAAAACCACAACATGTTGAAGAGACCAATTTTCCTGAGTTTTGAAACAGATCAAAATAATGTAGTGACTGAGCTAGTACCATGTAATAACCTGTAGCAATGTAAGAACAACATAATAACCTGACAGAGCTGAGCTCCTGCAACTTTTATACTAATGTACCCTGTAAAGCAATAGAGAATGAACTCAGATTTAGGAAAATTATAGATGTGATCTCAATCTCTTTAGAGCTTGAATTTTTCTAAAAATGCACACAGATTTTGCATACTAGCCTAATTCATCTTCATATTTATAAGTTATAAAATAAATTACATATCACCAAGTAAATTGGTTCACTGGAAAGTGGTACAATGTTTATTCTTTGGCTTTTTTTTTTCTTCTTGGAAGGCATGGTGTGGTATTCTTCTAGAATTTAGGAAACATCATGGCATTTGGCCTTGGGATAGACTGTAAGAGAGTGTACTGTGTTTGGCTTGTTTTACAGATTTTTTATTTAGTGAATATTAAAATTAATTTGCCTTTTTATGAATGCAAACAAATAGGGGAAAATTATTCAGAAATATTTTTTATGTCATTGGAAAAGGAATTTGAGATTAACAAATTATGGTTAGATAGAAAAGATGACAGTCAAATTGATTTTTCCATAAACATTTTTGCATGAACTTCAACCCCTCTATGTTCAGGAGTTTGGAATTTTGAGTTGTCAAATGATCACTCAGGATTTTAATATGGTTTATTTGATTTTTTTCTTTTTGTTTTAGACCAGAAATCACAGAGACCTTCAACAGCAAATTTACCACTTTCCAACCTTATTAAAAAGAGCTCCAGATGCCTTTCATACTCTCCTCCTCAATCAAGAAGTGCAGCTGCTCTTTCATTATCCAGAGCTGCTTCAGAAATTTCAGAAAGTGACTGTATTGATATGTCCAGCCAAAATGTGCCTTTTTTAGGTAACATTGCTCACCAACAATCCTTAGACAGTTCGGAGAAAGAATTAAATATGCTTAGAAATCTTGAAGGTAATGCTATTTTCTTCATTGTAGATAATGTTAACTCTTCCCTCTCCCTTGTTCTTTATAATCTTACTTTAAAAGACAAACACTCCACTAAAGCCATCAACTTTTGTGTCTGTTTCCTTGGCCATCCCCTAGTATTACCCTAAAAAGTTTATAAATGGCTGTCCATCCACACCAGAGATGGCCCAGAGTAGCCTCCACAATACACATCAGAACTGTGGCATAAGGAGTTTCAAGTGGGCATACAAACAACACACAAACAAAAACAACAACATCACCCTTCCTTTTCCTTTGTACAAAACTAGTGAATCTCTGTAGCTTTTGAAAGCTAAGGCTTATCATCCTTGTTGGAAAATTAAGCTGGTAGATCTTGTAAAGCAGTGCTGCTCAGGTTTTTTGTACATGCACAGATTCCATGCGGAGCTTGTTAAAATGAAGATTGTGATTCAGTGTGTCCAGGGTGGGGTCTGAGATTGTGCAGATCTACACAGGTATACAGATGTACCAGTGGTGCTATTTAGTACAGTTTGAGGAGAAATTATAATTGTGCATTCAATTTCCTACCTCAGAGAATGTATTTTGCCAGTGACCATATCCTTGAACACACAAAGATCTGGTTCAATAACAAATTATGAAGAGACATACTCTTATTGTCATCAGCAAGTCATGCACTTTATCTTTGAAAGAAACCAACTGCAGATCTGAGAGGCAGGCTAGAAAATTCTCTGGTTCTATGTATTTCAAACTTAACCTCTTATTTTTGCTCTTAGTGGTCTCCTCAGTGTCTTCAGTCATTTTCAAAAAAAGTTTCATCTTCATTTTGAAAAATTTAAGCAATAAAAATACAAAAGAGCCACCCCCAATCTTACTACTACCCTTAAAACAAACTTTATTAACTTCAGTGAGGTTCATTTTAAATGTCTGTTTGTATTGTAAGTAACAAAATAAAAATAACTTTGGAAGGATGAGTAGATTGAAGGAAAAGGCAATAATTTTGCAAAATAGACTTATACTTCTCTAAATGGTACTTTTAAATTTATATATATAGGTATCCTGAATTTAACAAAAACTGAAATGAAACTACATTGCATGTTTTTGATAAATTTTTTTCACCATAAAAGTATGAAATCATGCTTTTGTAGACCAAAACAGTGTACACTTTGCTGCTTTTTATGGTTCAACCTGATTTGTACCGGGGATCGAACTGGGGACTTTGAGCTTGCGAGGCAGGCACTGGAAACACTGAGTGAAATCTCCAGCCCAGTTTGACCTGACTTTTACCAATATTTCCTTAAAAATTAAGGAAAAACATGAAAAAAACCAGTAAGTAACTGAAATCATTTGTAACTATGCCTTTTAGTTTTCCACAGTAACAAATCTAAATTAGAAAAGATGAAAAATCATTTGATTATATTTTTAAACCATGTGCCAATCTAGATATTATTGACGACATCCTGTGCTAGGGTTTATTATTTTGTCAATATTTCTTTCATTTCATGTGTGTTTGTGTGTGCATGTGTGTGTGTGTGTGTGTTAAAATTCATATGGAATTAATGCTCAGTATCAGCATTTTCCCTATGAATTCCTTATCTCGAGCCTTGTGTTTTGATTCCTCTATAGAAAGTTTCATTATATAATTCTTGATAATGTCTGCCATTTATCTATATAATTAATTGACACATTAGCTAGATTTATTTAATGTATCACAATTTCCTTTCCTTCATACTTAGTTTACATTTCTTTTCTGACCCTGAATATGGTGCAAGCTACTCCTTCTTCACAGTTGTTCTATTTAAATTTTGTTTGGTTGAAAATAATTGTCAAATAGTTTTCCCTGCAGGTAGTGTTTATGGTAGGTCTATTACCTGAGCTCTTTCGTGTTTGAAAGCGTCCAGTCCACTACCTTTGTATTTGAAATACAAGTGGGCTGAGAGTAATAGCTCTGGGTCATCTTAAACCTTGTGCATACTGATTTGCTATTTTCTAGCTCTGAATTCTGTTGTGAAGTAATGTAAAGCCATGCTAATTTTTTACCACACCTTCTGTCTTGCATATGACAGGTTTCTTTTTTCCTTTCCTTTTCTTTTTTTTTTTTTTTTGGTCCAAGGGGTCCGTGAGCTTGTGCAGCAGGAGGCAAAACCACTGAGCTAAATCCCTGGCCCAAGACAGGTTTCTTTCCTACTTGAATATTTGGAAAACTTTTTCTTAATCCTTGAAATTCAGTAACTGAATAAAGATTGGGTTTCAATGTCAATAATTCAGTATTTTTTTAAATGGTAGATTTCTTTATCTACATACAGAATAAATTCCTTTATATTTTCAGGAAAATACTTTGCTTTTGTATATTTTAGTTGTTCCATTGGGCTTTCTTTTGCTAAGAAATGCATTTTCTTTGTGTCCTCTTGAAACAATATATTATATTTTCCTTGACTGTTTTAACTAGTTTTTATTTACTTTTGAGTTTATTGTAATTAATTATCTTAAGATTGTCATAAAGGCAATGATTTTATTTTTCACCTGGTTATGGTTTACTCTCATTTGATTTTTTTTAAAAGTACTTTTTAAAAGCCGTTACTTTAACTTTCTCTTTGACATCTTTGGGAAGCTTTTTATTTTAATGTCAAACTTTTGGGAAATTTGCACAATGCCAGAAGAGCATAAGACACTCCTGTGTACATGATACACTTTATTACTTTAACACAAGTATGGAGAACTTTTTCTTCTGAATGATTTGCAAGGAAGAATAAACATTGTGACTAATATGTACTTCTGTGTGCATTTACCCAAACAAGAACGTCTCTTACATAACATAATAAAACCATCAAACTCAGGAAAATTAACATTGATACAACATGAGGCATGTTTAACCTCTTCAAATTTTTCCTGATGTTTGCTTTTTTTTCTCTTTCAAGATCTAATTCAGAAATAGATGACCATCTAATAATTTCCCTTCAATATTTGACATGTTACTCCTTGATTTTTGAAATTAATTTTGCTCAATAAAAAGTTGATTTTCATAACTTCTTTTGTAGCCAAAGACTTTTGAGGAATTTTCTTACTGTCATAATCTATGTTTTAACCAGATTATTCTTTTATGTCACTATCTTTTGCATACTATGAATTCTTAGATTCGTTTGTTGGCATAACCAGCTGCTGTGTCATTCCTTTGTATCTTACTTTTCCATGCTTGTTGTGGATGGCTTTGTTGATATCCTCTGCCTTTTCTAGTAATACTAAGACACTCGCACCCCCAATCCTCTGCTCAGGTGCTGAGAGCAACCAGTTGTTTCTTTGGAGCTACCATTTGGACTTGGGTATTATATTCTTTCTGTTCTCTGGGATCTCAAAGGCAGGAGGAAGAACACAGAACTCAGGATATCAGTCTCTTCTTGAAATATTCAGGCTTGCTTTTCTTTTCCTAGATTTATTAAATATCAAGCCTCATTGACCTGAGTTCAAATGTGGTCTGTCCCTCAGGGATATCTGCAAATATGTAATTTTCTTGATTTTGTTAAGATCAAATTGGTGGGTGTTTAGAGGCTCTAAAAAGACTTCAAACATGTTCCTCTCATTCCCCTTCACATACTTTTCCTCCAAATAGGATAAACTCGGTGAGACTTGTCAGTTTTTTTTTTTTTTTTGTATGACTCCCCCTTTTCTATTTCTACCTAAGTGTTTGTGTATTGGTTTAGGAGGCAGGGTAGACAGGAATGGAACCTAGCCACATCTCACTAAATCTTATTTCTTTAGTTGTCCCCTGAAAATGTTTATTATGTGAGATTGTATCCTTTTCTATGGTTACTTTTATGATCTTATTTTATTTTAATTTTTTGCTTTTTCTATTTACTTCATTAGAGGCTGAAGTAGAAGAATCTATGATACCTTGTTACTTTTACATGTTTGCCTTAAGCTTAGGTACTAAGCAATCAACTAAATCTTTTTGCAGGTAATACATTAAATACCAATTCTGAAATGAAGCATATCAAGTTTGTACTGAATCTAAAAGGATAATCACACTGTTTTTAATCATAAAATAAAGGGCTTCTTATTCTGATAAAATTGATAAATTTCTTTATTTACAAATAAAATGCAGTTTACAAACAACAACTTTTCATTAGTCTTTCCCACTTTTCCATTGCCTTTTTCATTTTGGGTCTGTTGTGTTTCAATTCTTACCCTGGTCACTCTTTTTCCCACACTAACAAGGACATTTGCACTGGAACACAGCACTTGTCACTTTTGAGAAAAAGCACATACTAAGCAGCCTGCGCACTGCCAGTGCTTTTCCGTTGGTCCCATAGCAGAGGGCCACCGTGCACACATACTTACTCCAGGACTGACTTTTTTTCCATTGGGAAGATTGACTTCAAATCAGAGCGCATTATCTGAGGAAGTTTACCAGGTACGCCAAGGAAGAAAATGATGACACATCAACTGAACCAACCCCCGAGATCAGTGAGGTGACAGATGCTACCACGAAGTGAAACCTCCTTGTTGAGAATGGACTGATTCTGCACAGGGTCCTTGTATTGTTTTGCATCTGAGGGCTGAAAAATTTCACCCACATTTCACTATACATGCTGCAGTCTGGAAAATCTCTGTGAGGTTTGGCCTAACAGCCACAGCCACACATTTTGACTCTTACACAAATGTAAATTTGTTTGCATCCCTGTGAGCTTTGTTGTGATCAGCAACTCTGCTGACATGTTTTCTGCTACTTCTAGGTTACATTCACTTCCTTTTTCTAAGCTCTGTTTACACCAACTGTGCCAAGGAGCTGGGAGGGTAAAAGGCAGAAAATACATATTTAGTAAACTATTTCTCTGTTGGTTCTGATTGCTATGCAGTATCAAAACAACATTTTAGAAATAGCTGATGTAGGAGGTACGTGCACTTTTGTGTGTGTGTGTGTATGTGTGTGTGTGTGCGCAGTTTGCTATTGCAACCAGCTGATGAATCAGGAAATAGGAAACAATAAACCAGGAAAGTTGAAGGCCAGATTC